TATTTTTTATAGCTACAGAAATGTGTGTCCTTTGTTTGGACCTTGATGCAAACAAACCATATGTAAAAGAAAATATATAGGAAAAATGCAACACTAACTGGGTGTTAATAATTCTTGTCTTTTTCAGGTGTGGTAATCATCTTACGGTTATTTTGTTAAGAAGTGAAGGGTCACCAGGCATGGTGGTGCATGCCTGTATTCCCAGCAGTTAGAAGACAAGACAGTCTGGAGTTCAAGGCTAGTCTCTGCTATACCATAAGACCCTGTCTCAAAGAATCTGGGATAGGAGTAAATAGGGAAATACAGGATGAAATATACTGGTCATAGGGTGAAAACTGTTGAAACTGAGGTGAGATGGGACAGTAAGCCACACAGGGACAGAGAGAGCTAACCAATCATTTCACTTAGTTTTAAGAACTGATATTTAGCAAAGAGGAACAAACCCTTTCTTGGAGGTGGAAATGAAGTAGGAGAGGACTGAAGATGAGAAAGGATGCCAGGCCTGGTGGCACAGGCCTGCAATCCCAGTTACCTGGGAGGCTGGGGAAGGAAGACCACAAGCCCAATGACTCCTGGGGCTACAAAGAGCAGCTCAGGCAATGCACTGACAACTTGTCCCCAAAATACAAAGTGCAGGGAACTGGGAAGATAGCTCATTTAGGACAGTAGTTGCCTTACAGCATGAGGACCTGATTTTGACCCCAGAACCCATGAAACAAGCTGGGTGTGATGGTGCTTATAAACATAGGGCTGTGGAGATGGAGACAGGAGGATCCCTGGGGGCTCTCTGGCCAGCCAGCCTAGCCTAATGGGTGAGCCCCAACACAGTGAGATCTTGTCTCAAAGAACAAGGTGGATAGTTCCTGAGGAATGACACCAAGGTTGCCATCTGGCCTCCACAGGCCCAAACACATGCACCTGTAAGCACATATACAAACACATGCTTGTGTGCATACATACACAAATATATATACACATATGCAAACATATACATACAACACAAACACCATGGTTGGTTGAATATGTGGATGTAGAACCCAAGGTACAAAATGTTAACTGCCTTAAAAGCCGGAAAACATACATGGGACAGGAGGATTAGGAGCAGGGCAGAAATAAGGGAAGAATGATGACCAGAGAGGAGGCAGGTTGAGTTGCTGGATTTACTTTCCCACGTCCTGAGAGCAGGCTCAGCGGTGTGACTTACTTGCCAATGAAATGAAAGCAGAGGTGGTGCTACCTTGAGGCAGAGGTTCTAAGAGCCATCATATAGATTTCCAGATTTATCCCCAAATCTCTGCACAGGTCACAGGTAAGAGGGCAGACATGGGACAACTGCCAAGAAGGTGCATGGGCAATAGGGCCTAGAAGCCAGTGTGTCCAGCACGGTTTTGGCGTGGGTTGTCTTGGGAAGTGCTGTGTAGGCAGGTCTCTGGCAAGTCTCAGGAAGAATGTTTATTTCAAGTTAAGACTGATTTTAGATGTCCTCTATAGGTCTTATCCATAAGATTAGCTCTTTCATGGCAGCATCATGTCCTGCTGGCGACAAAGCATTCCAGGCTACAGTTGTGCTCTATGATTTGATTCCTCATTTTCATTTTCTTAGCGAGTTCTTATTTTCGCATTGAATACTTCCCCTTCTTGTTTTGACTTTGGCAATGTATTTCCCTGCCTTAAAACAGAACAAAGAACTAAGGTTTGGTGCAGGACTTGGCACAGGATAATTACTTACATTTGCTGTTGGGAGCACATGTCCCAGTAACCAGGCAGTTTACAATATGATCAACAGGACTTGTTGACTTGTTGGTTTTTGAGTCTTGCTCTGCAGCCTCGGCTGGTCTCAGACCCTCAGATCCTCCTGCCAGGCTTGCCAGCATGTACCACCACTCCTTTAGAGACCTTCCTATCTTAGAAGTCTGCAACAAATGTTTGGGAAAAGGTGACTGCAGCATTTGTAGCATACTACATAGCTCGCAGAATTCCTCTGCCTGCATTAACTTTTTATCCGTGCTAGAGATTGAAACCTAGGGTCTTGTGCATTTTTGATAAGCATTCTACCACTGACCTACATTCCCAGCCAGCTCAACTAAAATGTATTTTAAAAGAGACTTGTTTACTTCTGTGGTAAGAGGAAACTGCTGAACAGGACAGGGAATTGGTGAGAAACAACGAAGAGAGCAATTACTATTATTAAATATTTTTATTACTTTTAGTTGTATATGTGGGAGTTATGTATACATGTGGGTGCCTGTGCAGGCTACAAGCATTGGATCCCCTAGAGCTGGAGTTACAGGCTGCCAGATAAGGGTGCTGGAGCCTGAACTCAGGTCCTCTCCAAGAGCAGCAAGCACTCCTAACCACTGAGCCATCTCTCCAACCCCTATTTATTTGTTTGCAATGTTGGGATCCAACCCAAAGCTTTGTGCCTGTTAGGCAAGAGCTCTGCTATCAAGCGATATGCTTAGCCTTTAATGGCTACCATTTCACTTTTACTATGTATGTTTGTTAAGAACATCTGTGGTTTCTGGTCAGCTGGGGCTGAAGACTCAGCTTTGATTAAGAAGAGATCAGCACCACCTTTACTGGGACAACTGATGCTGGTTAGCTGGGTTTGAAAAATCAGCTGTAACAAAAAACCAGTATCATTGTGGCAAAATCTTGTGGGAAGTATTTCCTCAGGGTCAGCACACTGAAGCTGTGGTTCAGAGGGGGTCTAAGCCACCATCTCAAGCTGGAACCAGGACTTGGTAATGTACAAGAATCTCCTGCATGATTCTGGTGTTGAAGGCATGAAGCGGTGATGAAGAGAATCTGAGCCTTTGCACCCTGAGAGGCCAGGAGAGCCCACTGGTAAAGATGCAGCCTCAGTTTCAGTAGAGACCCCAACATATTGAAGAGGCCAGGACCGTGGGACGACCACCAAGGCCATTGGCAGGTGTGGACTGGAGCCAGCCCAAGCCTATGAGACAAGCTGTGTGTGCTATGGATGGTAGAGCCAGAGAAGCTGCCCAAGCTCTTTGGAGCCCAGAAGATGGTGAGTGAATTACCGATGTCTAGCTTGGAGCTACTTTGTTGGACTCTGGTTTTGCTTAAGTGGCCCAAATCTTCCCTTTGGAAATAAGATGGTACTTCATTTGTTTGGGATTTTACAGGAGCCCACAGATAAAGAGACTTAAGAAAGACTTTGAACTTTTAAAGCTTTTGGATTTTTGAAGACTGTGGAACTGTTAAAGCTGTATTGTTCTACGTTGTAACATTAACATGAGATCTTGGGAATGATGGAAAGGTTGTGCTTTAAAGTGATGTTTGTGTATCAAGTTGACAAGGGGTCAACCTTACTGGATCACTTTAATTGTCAATTTGACACACCTGGGTAAGAGGGACTCTCAACTGAGGAACTGCCTCCATTGGATTGGCCTGTGGGGTATTTTCTTCATTGTTGAGTAATGTGGGTGGGCCCAGCCTACTGTGGGCAGTGCCACTCCTGAGCTGGTGGTCTTGTGCTGTGTAAGAAAGCAGGCTGAGGTGCTGGAAAGATGGCTCAACAATTAAGAGCACTGACTGCTCTTCCAGAGGACCTGGGTTCAAATCCCAACACCCACATGGCAGCTAACAACCATCTATAACTCTAGTTCCATGGGATTCAATGCCCTCTTCTGGCTTCTTCGGGCATTGTGTGACATTGGTGCACTTACATACATGCAGGCAATGCATGCGTACACACAAAAATACATAAGAAAGTGGGCTGAGCACAGGTGAAAGGAGCAAGCCAGCAGTGTTCCTCCATGGTCTGTGCTCTAGGTCCCTGCCCTGAGCGCCTGCCTTGGCTGCCCTTGATGATGAACTGTGCTGCAAGCCAAGTAAACCCTTTCCTCCCAAGTTGGTTTTGGTCAGTGTTTTAATCACAGCAATAGAGGGTAACAGAACAGTAGACTAAGTGAAAATTCTGCTTGCTCAGATTTCCAGTCCATCTAATATAGATCCAAACCAGGAGCCTCCACAATATTTGTTACTTCAGTGCAGTGAATGAGAAATGTCCTCCACAGACTTCAAGTATTTGAACACTTGGCCCCAGTTGGTGGTGCTGTTTGCAGAGGGCTAGGAGGTTCGGTCTTGTTGGAGGAAATACATCACTGGGATGAGCTTTGCGTTCACAGCCTTGTTCACTCCCAGTCTGCCCTCTCTTTCTTGAGCCTGTTTGAAGTTGAGTGCTTATCTTTCTTCTCTAGCTGCCTCTGCTACCATGCCTCCCCGTCATGATGGATGCTTACCCTCTGGAACCATAAGCCAAATAAACTCTTCCTTTTATAAGATGCCTCCATCATAGTGTTTGACCATGGCAACAGAAAAATATTCACTTTTGTATATTTAAGCTAACTAATATCATGCTTTCTTTGTATCACATTATTACTGTATTTGTTCATTTATTTACTTATCTATTCATTTTTTGAGATAGGGTCTCCCTGTAGCCCGGCTGCCTGGAACTTGCTATGTAGACCAGGCTGGCCTCAATCTCACAGAGATCTGCCTGCCTCTGCCTCCCAAATGCTAGGATTAGAAGAGTGTGCCACCATGCCTGGGTATTATTTTTATTTTATGTGTATGTGTGTATTGCCTGTGTGTAGGTAAGTGCACCCATGTTGTGCAATGCCCATGGAGGACAGAAGAGGCTGTCGGATCCCCTGGAACTGGAGTTACAGTTGTTAGTTGCTATGTGGGTGCTGGGGTTCGAACCCTGGTCTTCTGCAAGAACAGTCAGTGTTCTTAACTGCTGAACCAGCTCTCCAGCCCCTTGTTTGTTCTTCTGAGACAAGTTCTCAAGTAGCCCTGTGTAGCTGAGGATGGCCTTGAACTCTTGATCCTTTTGCATCAGCTTCTCAAGTGTTGAGATTACAGGCGTGACCTACCTACTGTGCTTGGCTCTGTATCACAGAGGTTACTATACTTCAGAAACTTAAGTGCTAAGTATACTTTTGTTACACAAACACCCACAAACTAAAACAGATATTTAAAATCTTTATTGTATTGTCATCAAAAGTTTCCTTTCTTTCCACAGCAGAATGGCAATGCTGTGTTGGGGTATACTCTATGGAAAATGGATAACTAGCCTAGAGACTGGAGGCAGCACTGTGAAGCTGGTGTGCAGGGTCAAAGATACAATGCTGCTGAAATGAGCACACAGGAAGAATAAGCATCTGCTAGAGGAGTCTGTGGTCATGTGCACTGCATTGAGATTGTAAAGGAAATGGGGAAGGATCAGAGCATGAACTTCTGTCCCCATCAGATCTCAGGTACAGTCCATTTGCGTCACCAGCTTTCCAACCATATACCTTCCCCTGTAAGTCTCAACAATGTTTTTGGTCTACTGCTCAAACGGCACAGCCACACGCGGACACGTCTTACTGCTTCCCATCTCCCAGCCAAAGGTGAGAAAGAGTGGGTCAGGCAGACAGAACAAATCAAAACCTGGAGCTTTAGACATCTTTAGTAAAAAGCTGAACAAACTCTGTATTTGTTCCCATTTTCTTGAGAAATAAACTATAAAAACAACAAAAGACAGCTATCATGATTACTCAATTTTGACGGAAGGCAAAACAATTTTTATGTAAGCAGACTGAATACACATACCAATATTTTAACAAAATACCGTCAAATTAGCTTGAACATTGTCATAACCAACTCCTGAAGTTAAGTACTACGAATTGTAAGATGCAGATGACCACTATATCTGCCCATGCCTGGGAACTGGGAAGTTTTTGGTCAGGCTTGTGTTTGAAGCTGCTACACAGCAGGATTTGGCTACTCTGTGTTAATTTTACATACTCAATACCTTTTATACGGAAACAGCAGATCTATCATGATGAAATCAAACCTCAAACAATCAGAGGTCTACAGGAAGCTTGTCTTAAATATTTTAAAATTTCATGTGATATAACCTTAGAGGATTACACTTCTTATGGTCTAAGTCTTACAACTGAATTACCCGCATGAATAACAAGTCACTTGTGAATCATGTCAAGGCCTTGAGGGGGAGGGGCACTCTGAATGTATGGCATAGCAATTATTTTCCTGGTAGTCAAACATCTCCAAGTGTTATTAAACTATATTTGAAGTTTTTTTGTTTTTGCTTTTTTTTTTTTTTTACTTAATATATACAATGCACAAAATAAGTTAAAAGGAGGAAGCAGAGGACAGTTCTCTGGTATCTGTGATGCAAACATCCAATTTTCCCTCAGAGCAGCAGCCCACGTACGTCCACCTCACCCTAGGTGAACATGAAAGGCTGGCAGACTGGAATTTTCACTCATAAATAGAAACAAATCCAAGCAGTGGAATTTCAGCATCACTTCTTCCTGTACCACAACTCACTCACTGTGACTGCAATAAACACAGATCAAACTGTAACTCAGATATCTGTTTTTGCACTCGTACCTTAAAGTGCAACACAAATTCTTCTAACAACTGAGAAGAGCACTCTTTTAGCAATTCTATAAAGAAATTTTTAATTCACAAAACACTTGCCTACTAGTAAAACCAGCAACCCTTATGGAGGGCATGGGCAAAAATACTCGGCCCCTCTGAGGTATAAATGCAGCTACATTTGCACTGAGTAAATAGTTTATGTCAATGCTCTGTATGTTTGCATAAAACTGGGAGTGATGTCATCCTGACTGACTGAAAACTTACTTTTATATATTATTTTATAGTGGAGATTAATTTCAAGAGAAAATATGCCCAGTAATACAGCTGGCAAAATTCAGAATTCCTAAATCAATGCAAATAGTTATTAACATTTAAAAAATGTTTAACACTGCATACTGATTTAAAAAAAATGAACAGGTAAAAACACATATTTTAAGTTCAGCAGGACACTATGAAAAGCATACTATAGATAAGTGTGAATTCGGTCAACCTTTTCCAAAAGATAAAATCCTTTTAATCCCTTAGCAAGTCTCTATGAAACAGTAGGCGCACAGTAGGGAAGAGGGAGCAGCGAGAATACTCCAGACCTGCCATACAAGTTAGCATCACTGCCCCATCTCCTGTGCACGGCCAGCCAAGGATGACAGAAGTCCATGTGACAACAGTCCAGGAGCTCTTTCCTCTTCACCACTGCTGCCAACTGAAGTCATCATTGCTCCCAAAGACCAAGAAAAAGCCTAATATAGTTGCGAAGATGACCGTGTTTCCTGTGAGGACAAGTGCACAGGCTCCCCACTCAATCTACGGAAATAAAAAATAAACAGTCAGCAGACAGGAAAAGCAAGAGGGAAGCGAGAGCAAATCAAGGTTCTATTTGTATACGCCAGGAAGTGATTTTAAGCAAAGACAGCTTGTAATGACCTTCACAGTGCAATACTTAAGATTTTTATATAGTTGTTTTTATTCCACTGGTTGATTTAAAAGTACAGAGCGTTATAAGGTGGTAATTATTCAGGAACAAGCTTAACTTCTGGGCTATAATGACACAACAAGGGCCTCCCCTTGCCCTCAGTGCTAGAGATCCAACCAAGGCTTTGTGCAGTCCAGGATACACTCTTATCACTGAGCTACACACCCCTAGCTGTGCATCATAGCATTCTGTAATTTACTGCTTATAAAGAAAGTTACTTTCTTAGTGATTCTAAAACTGTTTAGAGAACAGATTGAATTCAAAGTACCAGGGATGAAAGCGTACTTGTGTACATTCTTTGAAAGGGGCAGAGGGACGGGGCTGGAGAGATGGCTCAGCAGTTAAGAACACTGACTGTTGTTGCAGAAGACCCGGGTTTGAATTCCAGCACCCACATGGCAGCTAACAACGGTCTGTAACTCCAGCTCCAGGGGATCCGACAGGCTTTTCTGTCCTCTACGGGCATTGCACGACACAGGTGCACTTAATCACATGCAGGCATAACACTCATACATGTAAAATAAAAATATTAAAAAGGGGGGGTGCAGAAGGAGAAGCTGCCTTCTCCACACTGAAGGGTGGCCATCGTATGTCTTGTCTCTGTCTCTGCAGAGATGGGAACGTGACTTTGGGTGGTGAGTCTGGGAGGAAGAACCGAGGGTTTGTGGCTCACCCCTCAGCTGCAGAGAACACACTCTTCTCACATCACTCATGCTTTAGGTTTTGTAGGGCAGGCCCAAGGCTGCTCGGCACTGCTGGGTTAGTGCCTGACAGTTAGGGGTGGCCATGCCAGCTGCTGCTGCAGACCCATGCTCTCCAATGCTGTGCTTACCAGATAGCAAGAACAAACAGGAAACTAAGATTTTAATCTGTCTCCGACATGCTAATGTCTCTCATCTTTCACACAGCAAAAACCTTTGTTAAGATAAAATTACCAGTCTGATACAAAATCATCACAGAAAAATGTGACTTACCAGATGTGCTCTGGCAAATACAACAGGAAGTCCAAAAGCAGAGACGACGATGCCTGTTGTGAGGAATATGGCAAGTTCCTTGCAAGCACTACTCATGGCATCTGTATCATCCACTAATCTCCTTGCTATGCAGTATGGAATGGGTGAAAGGATGTAAAAAAACAGAACAAAGAGGGGCCAGTATTGGCTGGAAAAGAAAAAGTTAAGTTGTTTTTGTTAACCATGCCACTTTCCTACATGCACTTTGTTAAAGACCAAAGGAGTATTACCAGATACAAAACAGGAAAATGTGCACAATAACTTTTAAAATTCGGGATTTATGCCTCTGACATCCTGCCTTATTGTAAAGTTAAATAAAATACCTCAGCTTCCCTTAATTTACCAGGAACTCCCCAAATCCTAAAATCAAAATACAAGGAACCAACTGAAAGCAAAAGTGTGAAGCACATAGCTTTCAGTGCTTTGTTAACTCTGCTGTGCTGACCTCAATTCTGGCTTTGATCACTGCAGAGGGAGCTGTGTGAATGGCACAGGTTGGAACCTCTTTCTATTATTTTGCCATGTTTTGACAGTCTACTTCAAATGAAAAGATTTAAAAGAAATAAATGGTCTTTAAAACTGACAAAATTAATTACACATTACAGTGATTTGCTTGTACTTAGTAAAGATTTATGTTTTCCTTACAAGAGCGTAAAAAAATAGTAAGTGGAGTAAACACCTAAGAAAAAAATTGAGCTAGATGTCATGACACACACTTTACACCTTTAAACTCAGCACTTGGGAGGCAAAGGCAGGAGGATTTCTGTAGCCGGGGCTACATAGCAAGACCCTGTCTCAAAAAACCCCCCAAAAACAAAAAACAAAACAAACCCCGAAAACAACCCCCCTTAAAGAAACAAAAGAAAAACTTGAAACAACATAAAAAGCGCTCTCTCTCTCTCCCCCCTCTCCCCCACCCCCCAAGAAAATGAGAAGCTTTCCACACCTCCCCTGCTTTCTTCTTTCCCACCTTCCTAGGGAGCGTCTTCTGGTCCTTCCACAATCCCATATGAACATTTAAAGGTGAATCTTTACATAATAGTATTTACCGTTCTTCCTCCTTAAGGCTTCTCAATGTTTTCAATCATAGACATACCATAATTCAACTTGCATTTTGTATGTGCATGTGTCTATGTTTGTGTGGGTATAAGAAGGCCAGGAGACAACTTTGGGTGTCCTCCTTCCTTAGGCACTGTCCACTTTTTCTAATATGACAGGGTTTCCCTGTAGTCCCAGCTGGCCTGGATCTCACAGAGATCCACCTGTCTCTGCCTTGTGAGTGCTGGGATTAAGGGCGTGTGCCACCATGTCCAGTCTGTCACTGTCTGGGGCTTGCCAAATAGGCTAGGCTAGCTGGCCAGTGAGCCCTAGGGATCCACTGTCCCCGCCTTCCCCATGCTGGGATTATAAGCATGCACCACCACACTATTTTCACATGGGTTCTGGGGATTGAGGTCAGGTCCTCATGCTTGCACATGTGAACATCAGTGGAACTTCAGGAATCAGTCCTCACCTTCGACCTTTTTGGAGATAGGGTCTCTTTGTTGTTCAGTGATGTGTAGGGCAGGCTAGCTGGCCTGAGAGTTCCATTAACTTTACTGTCTTCACTGCCTATCTTGCCAGAGGAGCACTGGGATTACAGATGTGTACTACTATGACTAGGTGTCAGATGAATCCTTGGGATTTGAACTCAGGCTTATGCTTGCGTGGCAGGCACTTTACCATTGAGCCATTTCCCTAGCCCCATAATTTAACTTTAAAAAAATATTTTATTTGGGCCTTTGATCCAAGCACTTGGGAGGCAGAGGCAGGCAGATCTCTTTGAGTCTGAAGCCAGCCTGGTCTACCTAGTGAGTTCCAGGCCAGCTGGGGCTACAGGGAGACCTTGTCTCAACAACCCCCTCCACAAAAAAATGTTTAGAATTTTTAAGTGTATGAATGTACTGCCTACATGTATGTGCATTTTGTGCAATGCCCATGGAGGTCAGAAGAGGGCGTCAGATCCCTTGGAACTGGAGTTACAAAGGTTGTTGGTCACCATGTGGGTGATAGGATTTGAACCGGATCCTCTGCTAGAGCAGCCCGTGCTCTTAACCACTGAGCCATGTCTCCAACCCCAACCATAATTTAACTTTTGATGGGGATTTTTGATGTCACCAGTATTCCACTTTTGCTATTACAGATAAGGCTAGTGTGAGCATCTATATTCTTGCCTAATTGTACAGATCTTCACAAATATCTGCAGGTAGATGTGCATAAAGCTGTCCAAGAAGTAGAGGGCCAGTTCACAGAACTTCTCGCTAGCAACAAAGCAGTCTCTAAGAGCCAGTACCTGTGTGCACTTCCCAGCCCCAGTACGGGCTGCCACCTAGCAGTGCTTGTCTGCCCATCTATTTTATCTTCCCTAATGGATTTCCTTTAGTGTGGAGTAGGTTGAGAATGTTTTCACTTGCTTACTAGCAACACAGCTGTCTTTTCATGTCTGTTGTTTATTTCTATTCACTTGCCTTTTTAAACTAAGTTATCTAAATATTAACCGTTACACGTTTGAGGCCAGCCTGGGCCACATAGTGAGACACTGACTCAAAAAAAAAAAGTTCTTTCTATCCTAAGGTAAGAAATCATCTGTATCACTTTGTTTTGGTCAACTGCATTCTGACTCTGCTTATGTTATTTTCTCTAAAAAGATGTTTCAAATGTTTTTGGACTTGGTATTACCAATGGGTGTTTACAATCTGCAGTAGGGCTCAGCTACTGTCACCTTGCTGCTTGAGAGTTCAGAGCAACCAAAAAGTAGGTGATAGCCATGGCATTCTGGTGTCTTTACAAATAAATTTTAAGCGATGAATTTTTAAAAAGGGTTAAATTTGGTAAATGAACATTTCTCTCCATTACTTTTCTCATAGAAAATAAAATATTTTTAAAAAATTAAAAGTAGAAGAATTTTACGCTTAAAAACTCCGCAAGAAAAGTTTTACGTACTTGTATATTGGAAGGGCACATCCGAGCATCAGAAACATTAGCCCAATTGCTCCTCCAAAGGACAAACTAATTAAAGCTGCAAAACAAATAAAAAGTTCAAGAGAGATATCAATTAGTTAAGCTAAGCTGGTATTATCTTTGCTAATATTACCAGTCTGAGACATACTTGCAACCCCAGGAGTAAAACAAAACTCCACCTCTCCTTAAACTTCAAAGCATTAGAAGTGAATCATCCTTATGCCAGGGGTGGTACCTCATGCCTGTAATCAAAGCATCTGAGAGACACAGGCAGGAGGATTACTGCAAGCTAAAGGTCAGCTTGAACTACAGGGTAAGACCCAGTCTCAAAAAACAACAAAAAAGAATTGTCTTCAAAATTGTTAGTTATACAGCTTCAGAGTAAGTTTCCATGGCATCCTCAAGGCAAAATAAAGTGCCAGAAGTTGAGTATCACTATTTTTAATATTTTATTTATTATTTTTAAATTTTATGTGTATGAGTGTTATGCCTGCATGTAGGTAAGTGCGCCTGTGTCATTCAGTGCCTGTGGAGGACAGAAAGAGACTGTCGGATCCCCTGGAACTGGAGTTACGGACAGTTGTTAGCTGCCATGTGGGTGCTGGGAATCGAACCCTGGTCTTCTACAAGAACAGTCAGCGTTCTTAACTGCTGAGCCATCTCTCCAGCCCCCTGAGTATCACTCTTAACCTAAAACATTCTAAAATCTGCAATGTTAGCCAGGTGTGGTGGCACATGCCTTTAAGTCCCAGCACTCAGGAGGCAGAAGCAGGCAGATCTCTGCAAGTTGGAGGCCAGCCCAAACCAGGACTACACAGTGAAATCTTCTCTCAAGAAACAAAAACCAGACAGTGTAGCGGCTGTGATCTCAGCAGACTGCCAGAGAGTGCCCTCTGGCTGGAGTCTGGCCTCCCTCTGGCATAGGAGCTGAGAACACAGGGGACTGCCCGAGAGTACCTGGATCCTGCCTCCATGTGGTGCTATCAAAATACCTGAAAGCAAATCCTGAATCCATCACACAGCCTTGGCAGACAAAAGAAAAATAAGGAGGAACCCCATAGAAGGATGCTTTTGGAAGCCCTCGTCAAGAAATTCCAATGGATTCTCATATGAACATTTGAGATTTGCCCTATTCTGACTTTTTTCTACTTTCCAGTTTAGAACTTGTAATGGTCATTACTCTTGCCTTTACTTCTCCTTACATCTCCTTTTCACAATTCAAGGACTTTCTTTTTCCCCTAGAGATAAGAGTTATGCAAAATGGGGAGTCTTTTAGATAGACCCACTGAAGGGGTACTCCAATTGTTTTACCCTGTTCAGCATGGAAGAAGCCAGAGTGGTCTGTATCCAGATTCCCTATCCGCAAGTTGGGTAACCTCTTCAGAGGATGGCGTGATAAGAATAGGAGGTAGGAAGTGGTTAGGCAATTAGGGTAAAAAGACCCCAAAGAAAAGTAGCCAGTTTCTTGGCTAAAACTTACAACGTCGTTGGGCCCCTTAGCAACTACTATCTTTGGTGATGATTTATTCTAAAATAAAGACCTACATTAAAAATCTGTTATAAAAAAAGAAAAAAAAACCAAAAGTTGTAGTGTTCAGAGTGCTGATATACGATACCAGTGGAACATTCCACACCGTGATACTTTGCTTTATGCAAAAATTATCCCCACAAATCTCACTATGTATATGAATCTGAAGGGATTCACAATCTGAAACACTTTGGATTCCAAGCATTTCCACTAACGAATACTCAACCTGTACTGATTTTCAGAGTTTTGACCTATTGCTAATACACACCACATTCCCGAATTACTGGTTCCTCTTCTAAGCAGTATCACAGCCCAGAGAATTAATACCCCTCCTGCCATGAGCACTGTATCTCATCCACAGATTAGGCTCCGCAGGTCATCACTTGCCATGCAAGCATGATGACCTGAATTTGATTTCTGGAATCCACACAAAGGTGGATAGAGAAAACAGACTCTACAAAGCTGTCCTCTGATTGCCACACACATCACACACATATAATAATAAATAATAAAAAAACGGGTGTGGTGGCACACACCTTTAATCCTACCATTCAGGAGGCAGAGGCATGTGGATCTCTGTGAGATTGAGGAGTTTCAGGTCAGCTGGGCCTACAGGGAGA